GATAATTTTTTTTATAATTCTACCTAGCACTTTTGGTTGCTTCTGGTGGGAGAATCTGTCAGTCTCTAGTGTGCCACACTGCTGGATATGAAAGTCCAATATGCTTTTCCAAGAGTTGGAACTTCATTGTTTTGTAAAGTATCAACCTGCACTATAAAAACCAGGGTCTAACTCTAGTGGTCTAAGCTCCCTGCCTATAAACATAAAGAATAGCTACCTTTTGGCCTATGTCAAGCTAGTTTTTGTAAAGGACTCTGCTATGGCTTATATCTGGATCTCCCTCTTCCCCAAAGCCTCATGCACTCATAGAAGGGTCTTTTGGGAGGTGGTTGGGTCATAGGGGTATGATGTCAGAAGTAAAACTAAGTGTGATGTTGGAAAGTAAAGCCTGGTTGGAAGAGGTAGGTCACTGGGGGTGTGACCTGGAAGGGTCTATCTCCCTCCCCCGTCTCTCTCTCTCTGCTTCCCACTGCCATGCCATGAGTTCCTTCTCCACTCCCATGCCATCCTGCCATGGAGCCTGCTAACTGTGGACTGAAACTTCTACAGACTGTGGGCCAAAATAGACCTTTCCTCCTTAGAGTCATGGGTGTTGGATATTGTGTCCTACCTATGAGGGAAGTAACTAAGACAGATTTTGGTCTTAGTTATTAAAACAGAGAAGTGAGGTTGTTACTGTGACTGCCAGACTATGTGGTTCAGAATCATCTAGAAATGGTTAACAGGAGGAGTTTGGAAAGGTTTGGAGATGCAGGCTGGAGAATTAGCCCTAGAATACTGTAAACCAAGCACTGATGGCAGATTCTGGTCAGAGCTCAGAGGACCAGAACACTGACAAAAAGGCAATCAGAAAAGACCAGGATCAGGAGGTTTCAGTTGGGAACAAGGACTCCATTGGAGTCCTTGGATTCCAGGCCATGTCTATTGTGCTTCAGCAGAACATTTGCCTACATTTTGCTCCTATCCTGAGATTTAAGGAAGACTAAGATTAAGCCCAGCAGACTAATTAATCTGGCTGAGGAAATTTCAAGGCAGTCTGATGTTGAGGCTGTGGCTGGAGTACTATTAGGGCTTTTAGCCAATTCTACCTTGAGATTCAAGGTAAGAGTTTTGAGTTTGGCCAGAAAGGAAGCTCCTGAAAAGTTGAGGCCTGTAAAGATAGAACAAGAGAGAGCTTGGCTGCTAAAAAGATTAGGATTTAAAAAAAAAGCCAAGTACTTCACACCAAGACAATAGGAAAAATGCCTTGAGGGAATGTGAAGAATCAGCAAGGCCCTACGGTTTACAGGCCCAAAATTACAAAGGTGAAGAAGGACTTTGGTTTGAGAAGAGAGCCTCAGAGCACTCTATTGGAAGAAGGCCACCTAGGGAATTGATATTCCTTGATATTCAGTTGATCATGCTCAGCCATTTAGGCACTTGGAGACCTGTGCAGCCTTGATACGAAAGAGTTCAGCTATTGCTACGGTTGGTGGCAGACCTTCGTGTCATCCATGTGGTGCTGGTTTTATGTGCTTGAAGAATGCAAGAGTTGTGGGGTCAGCATCTTACTTACGTTTCTTGTTGCTGGGACAAAATACCTGACACCCACAAGTTAAAGGAGGGAAAGTTTATTTTAGCTTACAGTCTGTGGAGGTTTCAGTCCATAGTTGGCTGGCTCCAAGGCAGGGTGGCATGGCAGAGGGGCTGGCAGAGGAGAAACAGTCCATGAAAGGGAAGGCAGGAGGCAGCAAGCAGCAGCCTCCCTTTACCTTTTATCTCCTCTGGGCTATATGCTTTTTGGGTGGTGCCACCCACACCTGAGATGGGCCTTCCCATTAACCACACCCAGAACTATGATAAACCAATCAGTGTGCTAATTTGGTTATCACACACCCTTAATTCATATTCGCACACCATAGATCCAGCTACCTCTGAAAAGCCCCACCTATGACAGCATGAGGCTGGGCGGGGGTGGGGTGCATCTAGATATAAGCCATGACAGTCAGGGAGACTTCCACCCAGATTTCAGAAAAAGGCCTGGGAGGCCATGCAATGTGCCCATGAGTGGGCAGTGTGTGAAGCTGTGAGAGTGAAGCCAGAAGTGGAGACACCCAGCATGTTGGAAAAGCCAAGAACATGGAATGTCTAAGGAAAGATGCAAGGAGTGAGCCAAGCTGGCCTAAGAGAGAAGTCATGAGGGCTATACCAGCAATGCTGGAGGGGCAGGGTCATCCAAGTCCTTTGGAGTTCACATCTTACCACAGACTACCCAGGGTGCTGGGCATGAAACTATGAGATTTAATGTTTGCCCTGCTGGATTTAGGTCTTGCTTTGGTCTCATTCCTTTCTCTCCATTTCTCCCTTGTGGAATGGGAATGTTTACCTCTGCCTTTGTATTTGTATGTTGGCAGTGTTTAACATTTTTTTTCATTTTTACAGGGCCTCACAGCTAAGAGTTTGCCTTAAATCTCAGACTTTGGACTTGGACTTTTAGCAATGCTGAAACTGTTATGACTTTTGCAACTCTTAGAGATGGACTAAATATATTTTGCATGAAGAGGTACACCTAAGTCTTTTGATTGCTGGGACGGAATGTAATAGTTTTTAACTATAACTCCCCCGAAAGGCTCACGCATTCACAGGTGGGGCTTTTTGGAGGTAATTGAATCATGGGGGTGTGGATTAGTGGATTAGTCCACTGAGGAGTTTATAGCTGTGATTTTGGGAGGTAAAGTCTGGTCAGAAGGGGTGCGTCACTGGGAGTGTGGCCTGGAAGAGTATATTTCCCTTCCTCCTCCCTTTATCTCTCTCTCTCTGCTTCCTATCATGCCATAAACAAGCCTTCTCTACCATGCCCTTCTGTCATGCTGCCCTGCCTTAGAGCTGACTATGAACTGAAACTTCTACAAACTATGAGCCAAAACAAACCTTATGTCTTTAGAATTGTGGGTATGGTGTATTTTGTCCCAGTGACAAAGGAAGTAATTAAGACAGATTTAAAATAATGTGGAGTCTGTTTTAAACTGGAGATACCATGCAAATTTACAAATTTTCTTAACTTTATAAATAAAATGTGGCAAACAAGTAACAAAAGTTACAACTAAGGGTAACAATCTTAGAATGACTTGCCCAATTTAAAATATCTTTGTATTTATTTCCTTTATCTTCTGGCCCCAAGTATGAATGGGAAAATCTTCAAATTATAAAATTAAGTATTATTTTATATGTTGTATTTGACATTACTTATATAATCTATTTTTTAATGAAAAGGAAAGAAGGTAAACTTGAGTACTTTATAAAATTTATAATGTTTTAAAATTTGTGTTTGTCTCTTCGATATATGGATAAGCAACCTAACAGGATGTTCATGACATTTTATGTACTTTATAGGCTGAGGTCCTGAATGTTTAACATACTGTAATATATCTTTGTCTCTGTGTTATCAAGCTGAGGTATTATTATAGGTAACTACCCATATTACCCTTCTCATTCTCAAACTGCTAGTAATATAAGTATCCAAGGGGAATACTTGTAAATACATTCCAAAGAGCCTTGTGGATGGTAGATGACTTGCAAATGGACCAGTGTAGGCACATAGCTGTTACTATTTCCTGTAGGTGTATGATATGTTAGGTCTAACGTAGTTTTTTTTTTTTGGTACCAGGGATTGAACTAGGGACCTTGCAAGGCAGGCGGTGGAACCACTGAGCTAAGTCCCCGGCCCATGGTCAAATGTAGAACATATTATAGGGCCTGTCCTCTAAACATTCATATACCAAGATAGTGTACTCTGCATGTATGTCATTCACTCATTCTGCATTTAATGTGAGTCAGTTCTACTGCATATTTAGCTTTGTGCCTGCTCTCAAGGAGATTATAATCTAATTAAGAAAGTAGAGAAAAAAATTACAATTATAGTTCTGTATAAAAAGTGGTAGAAACAGGTAAGATGTTTTAGAGTTACAGGTAGGGACACTGAGCCCATACTGGAGTGGGTGGAATAAGGCTGGGGGGCAAGCAACAGTGAAAGGTTTATAATGGAATTGATGCCTGGAAGGATAAGCAGGAATTAGCTAGGTCCAGGAAAGGTAGGGAACCAGGAAATAACTAACCTTGGAAATGGCATAAAGTCAGACATGTGTGAGAGTACGGCAAGACTAGGGAGCCCTCAAAGTTTATTATGTATTTATTCCCTTGTCATTAACACACCACTCTCCCTATGGTTAGTCTTTGGAGGGGATTTCCTGTCCCTATGTCTAGCAGAAGGCACATAGATGCTAGAGTAATAAATGTTTGATGAAGGAAAGAACAAAAAAGAAAGATCATAATTTAGCGGGGAACAAATGAGACAGAATTTGGGAATTAGAATAGATAAGACATGGTAATACACAGGAGATGGAGTAAAACATAAAAACAGATTGGAATAAAAGTGAATTTTTAGGTTTCTGTTGGATTATAGGTGGATGTCAACAGTAATTAATAATAACAGCTGGTATTCACTCTGTCTTGTAATACATTGAGTTTTTACATGTTTTAAACCACTCAAACTCTCAACAACTCATTGTTGTAGGTATTCTTATTTTACCCATTTACTAGTGAGGAAATTAAGATGAGAGTTCAACTGGCCCAGGATCACAGAGATAGTAGGGGTGGCAGATTCAAAACCAAGAATTCTGATTCCAATGGAATACATTTATAACCTACTTTTCTTTACCTTCTCTAAGATGAGATCAATGCATAGAATAATGGTCCTGTTCAATGTGTATCACACAAATTGCAAGTCTTTCTTTTAGTAAACTTAGGCTGTGATTGCTTTTTTTTTTTTTTTTTTTTGGTACCGGAGGTCAAACTCGGGTCCTTGCACTTTCGGGGCAGGCAGCAGAACCACTAAGCTAAATCCCCGGCCCATCTGACTGCTTATCTTTTGTCAGGCTTTTAGGAGCATGGTTCTGTCTGTAATTTCACTTTTTCCACTGGGAAGTCTTAATGTGGTGTGGAAGTTTGATAAAACAGCTTACACAAAAGATGGGTGAAGGCAGGCACAGAAAGGACGTTCTCAAATGCTGGCACGGTTGCTGGAATGACGGGATCTGGATTCTATCAGGCTCTCCCTGACATCGGCCTCCACACACACGTTATAAGGTATATACAGTATGGGCGCCGACCCTAAGGTTGGTTGTACCAGTCCTCAACTCACAGTGAAGGCGCCTCCTCCGACTCCTGGCGAGCCCAAGGCGCTGTAAGGTATCTCCAGGCAGTCTCTAGGGCCGGGAAACACCTCTCTGGGCAGCCGCCGGTCGTTTCCAGGGAAACCGCCCGCGGAGGCACCTGGGACCCACGGCGGGCCCCGCCTGGCGGCAGGGGGCGCGGAAGCGCGTTGGCCCCTGCGGCCCCACTCACGGCCCGCCCCGCCCCGCCCCGCTCCCAGCCCCGCCTTCTCTCCGCAGGGACCTGCCGCTCCCAGCTCCCGGCTCCCGACCCGCTTCCGGCGCAGGCGCAATCTAGCTCTCCTTCGGCGGCGGCTCCCGGCGCAGTGCGCCGTGCGCGGCGGAGTAGGCGGGGGTCGGCCCGTGGTCCTTTGGCTCTCGCTCCCTGGGGCGCGCTCCGTGCTGCTCTGCGAGCGCCCCTGAGTACGGGCGTTGGGTTCGTCAGGTGAGTGTGGCCGCGGGAGGGAGCGGCCCGGGGCGGGAGTACCGCCCCCCTTGGCGCCGCGCGCCTGCCCGTCTCCCGTCTGCCGGCCGCAGGTGCAGGTGTAGGCTCCGCGGCCCGGGCCGGCGAGCGCTTCCACGCCTGGGCGCGCGGGCCCCGCGTCACCCGCGACGGGTTCGGGGCGCCGGGCACCCGGTGGGCGTCGGGCGGCGGCTCCTCAATGCTCTCCGGGCCCAGGCGCGTTGCTCCGGGGGGCGCGGTCTCGGGCGCCCGGGGTGATGATCTCTGAGCCTTGGGTGGCAGTCTGCGGGCGAACGCGGCCCAGCCCCGGGGGGCTCGGGTCACGGAGGAGTAAAGAGTTCCCGAACTTGTCGGGACCCGGTCGCAGCACGGACGGCGCGCGGCACCCGGTACGGAATCAAGCGGTAGCTGAGGGAGTTCTTTCCTGCCCCAGTCCTAGTAAACGTCGTGCGAAGCGCCGTGCCCAGGAGTAGAGGTCACCCTCGGGAGATTTCGGTGAAACCTGGAGGGGAAGAGCCAGCGCCTGGAGTCGCGCCTTAGGCGGCAGCTCAGTCCTGCCAGACTTGAGTTTGGGGGAGAGGACAGTGCCTTCCCGGCATTGACAGCTCCGGCATTGACAGCTCCTCACCGCCGCCCGCGGAAAAGCCAGCCTCAGGGCTGGACGGGGGATGATGCTAGGTGGAATCTGCAGCACTTGAAGAGCTGACAGTTTTTACGGGATTAAAAGAAAAAAATCTGTAATGGCCAAAGGGTAAGATATTGAAAAATAGGAACAATTTAGTTTCACTCGAAAGTTGCCTATTCCAACGCTACCTGTTATACATCTTGTTTTCCCCCAACTCCTGCCTTTCAGTGTCTGGGAAAAGCCCTGTAATGTTTTGCTGTGGAATGATTGCATAATTGGAGAGGCCGATAAGATTAAAACAAAATTGTCCTACAGTAAATCTGTTGAAAGACCCAGTTTCTGGTTTTTGCCCTTATTTTGTTGTACAGGCAGGGCTTTTTTTTTTTTTAATGGTGAATGACAAATCAAGGAGAAAAGAGGCAGAATAGTTTGTAGATCATCATAGTAAATATTTGATACTGTTAAATATTTCACCAGTTTTATGGGGCCTTGTTCTGTTAACATGTGTAATTTATTTACCAGTACTGCGCATTTTGATAGGACTTTTCATGTTTGGAAATTGTATTCAGAATGTAGCTTATGTGAAACAATCCTAAAGCCTGAGTGGGATTTATAGAAGTAAACTTAACAGTTACATAATTTTACTATAATAGTTTATTACCATTAGAAGAAAAGTCTAATTTTTTTCTTTTTTCAGCACAACAGTGTTATGTGTTAATGCATACTTTTGTGAACCAGAGTGTTCCATGTAACTCTTCCTTGTGTTTCCCAAACCAACTCATCTGTGGTAGTGAGTACATCCACCTTTCAACCAGGATGATTATTTGATGTTCGGCTGTTTTGTGTCCAGTTAGTGAAGTATCTAATTAGATCCATTTGTATTTTTTGAATTAGAGTAGTGTAGTTATGCATATGCTCCCTTTAATATTCTTTACCTTTGATTTTCTCTAAACCCTTAATCTCCCCCAACACACAGATAGATGCTCTGCAAATAATTTTTTTGTAAATTGAGAAGTTTGTAGAAATAACTCACTCGTATTTTAGTATGGCAGAACAAAAACTTATAAGTTACATTCGTTTTACATGTATTTCCTTCCTTAGTAGATCTCACTGAACAAATTAGTTCAGAACAAATTAGTCCAAAAATTAATCCAAAAAAGCTGGACTCATGAAGAATTATTTAACTTTCAGTGCCATCACTTACTAGGCATATGACCTTAAGTAAATGATTTAACTTTTCTGAGCTTGTCTACATTTGTACATGAAATAGTACTAGGTAGAAACATATGAAATTGCCAGTATTTGGCTGTTTTTTTATGTCTAGCCCAATCATGGGTTTCATAATGATGAGGTGAGGATTTAATGAGGTATTCCATGTGAAATGTGGGGGAGGGAAGAAGGAAAAAACGTTAGCTTGACAGTATGTCATGCCCTGTGCTTATTTTAAGGTACCTTGACTCTTTAGTCCTCAGGACATTCTTGTTATGTAGGTGGTTTATCGAATTTTACCAATCAGGAAATTGAGGTACAGAGAATAGAAATAACTTGACAGTAGTTACTTAGTTAACTACTATCCTTGGTCATATACTGCAGCTGATTAATGGCAAAGCCAGGTTTAAAAACTGTGACTGTCCAAAATGGAACTCTTAACCCTCTTGTTCCTTACATTACTGGTCTGCACATCCTGAAAAAGGGCTTTGTATTTATAAGGAAGCATACAGATGAAAGGTGGTGTTATTCGTGTTTCTGGGTAAAAATACCTAAGGTTTCTTATGATGATGATGCTGCCACTGCTACTTCTGTTACTAAGTCTGCTGTTTCTCTTGTGCCAAGTCCTGTTCTAAGCACTATCCCCACTCACTGTCACAACAAGCTAGAAATAGGTAGTATTTTACCCCCATGTTATAATTGAGAAAATTGAGACATGGAGAGGTTATATAGTTTGCCCAAGGTCATAATTAAGTGATAGGCCTACATTAGGAAATCAAGCAGTTGTCTTCAGTACCAGTGTTGTTAACCACTGCATTCACATCACTCCATAAGTTACACTGCTAAGGAATCGTTGGCTCTTAGTCACTGCACTACCTCTCCATTTGTAGGTTATAATACTGAAGAATTGTTTTTAATTTAGCTTTCTTGAGATACTTAATATTACTTTAATATTTAATTCTTTTGTCAACAGAGGTTTTAAAAATTAAATATTCATTGAACATCTACTCTGCAAGTCAGGATGTTAAAGTATTCATAAAGCATCTGGAAGGTAGAGACATACAATACATAATCATCCCCCGCCCCCCTTTTTTTGCGGCACCAGGGATTGAATCCAGAGCCTTTGGACTAAGCTACATCCCCAGCCTTTATTTATTTCTTATTTTGAGTCAGGGTCTCACCATGTTTCCCAACCTGGGCTCAGATTTGTGATCTTCCTGCTCAGCCTCCCAGAGTGCTGGGATTACAGGTATGTGTCACCATGCCTGGCTTCCCATGGCTTATGTATGTTCCTCAAAACTTTGTATACATTTTATTTTTGAGTTTTTATTAGTGCATGTTTGGATTATGTAATACATTCATTGTGGGGAATTGGTAAACATATGTAACACATCTTAATTCTTTTTACTCCCCTTTCCCTTCTCCTTCCCCTCTCCTGCCTCCAGCTTTGTATACATTTTAATGAGTGCCAAATAAGACAAAGAGCTAGAATTGTTGAGTAGTAGGGAGGAACGAAGAATGAGAAGTAGGTAGAGATATTTATGAGGGAAAGTTTTGAGGATATTTTGAGAGTATGCTTTTTCAAACTAAACTTTTGACCCAGTATCATTCTGGTTAAAGTGCAGTTCAACCAGGACCAGTCAATTTATTTATATATATATATATGTATATATATATGTGTGTACATATATATGTATATATATATGTGTACATATATATATACATATATATGTATGTACATATATATATATGTATATATATATATTTTTTTTTTTTGGTACCGGGGATTGAACTTGGGACCTTGTGCTTGGCGGTTGCACCACTGAGCTAAATCCCCAGACCTAATTACTGTATTTTTAATGTCCTAAAAATAAAATATAAGGTTTTAAAAGCTCTTTTCTACATGTTTCTCATTTTCTGTACCAGGTAGTACTTTTTCACCTTTATGCTTCTGTAATATTGAGTACATCCTTTTATTGGTATTTATTAATTTTGACATGTGGACTCTATTTGTAACTATTTCCTGAGCACTAGAAACACATTTGACAAAGTGGTCTCTTTTCTAGTCTACAAGTGCTTGAAGGGCACAACTGAGAGTCATAGAGATTGACTTGGCCAAGTTCACACAGCTAGTTCATAGTAGAATCTGGTTTAGAGTGAAGGTTTTCTGAAGCTAGTCTGATTAAATTGCTCATTTCCTCAGACTTTAAAATTCCACTTTCTCCAGTCTTCATGGTCTTCAGGTACTTACTGTTTTACCACCATCTTTTTAGAAAAACATAGCCTGGCATTTCTCTCCTCTTCAGTGCTTTCTTTGCTCGTCATGCTGTCTAGACTCTTGTTTATCTAGTCAGTTCGTATTTCAGTGACTGTTGAGTGTTTAGTTAACGTTTATTCTTGCATATGCAAAATAAGGCTCCCACTATTAAAAATTCAGAAAAATTTTTATATATCTGTTCCAAAGATTTATAATTAAATATAATAAAATATTAGTAACTTGGTAAGTTCAGAACATTTTCTGAAAATCCCAAATAGAAGAATCTTCAGTAATATCTAAAAATGCCAGGTTGTACATTCAAGTACTGTGGAATTAGTAAGTGGAAATTAGTATATGAGCTGTCTTAATAAAAATGGGAAGGTTGTGCAGCTTGAGCACTTGATTGATTTTCTTTTTGAGTTACTAGTAATTTCATACTTGTAAGCATAGAATACTTCTTAATGTGTAAATATGACTTTTTCTTGTTATAACAAAAGTGTTAGCTTGGAAAGCCAACTTTAAAATTATAATAGAAGTTAATTAGAAAATGATTTTATGTGTTTTCATTTTTTCTCACTTTTTATACTGTATTTGAATTTGCTCTTTAGACTTGTTTGGAGGGCATTCTAATTATGGAAAATTTAAAATAAACAGACACAGTAGCACTTGAACCTCAAAGTTCCCATTATCTAGTCCAGTCACCATCAGTAGTAAAGGTTAATCTAATCCTATCTACTTCTCTCCCTCCTGTATTTTTCTTTTTGGTACCATGTGAGGCAGGCGCGCCGCCACTGAGCTAAATCCCTGGGCCTCTCTGTATTTTTTAAAGCAAATTGTAAGCATTGTGCAATTTCATCTTTAATTATTCCAATATAGTTTTCTAAAAGATAGTGGAAATACAAACTTTAAAAACCTACTGATGTCTTATGTATCAAATATCCATTCCTTTTTCATTTAAAACATTTTAATTGACACATAAATATAAATATGGGATATAGTAATAGTCAATACATGTATACAATGTGTAATGATCAGATCAGAGCAATTGGCATATCCAATACCTCAGAGATTTATTACTGTATTTCTTTGTGTTGGGAACATCCAAGTTATACTATTTTGAAATACACGTAATTATTGTCAGTCATGATTATTTTACTGTGTTATAGAACGTTAGAAGCTATTCCTGCTATGTCCTGTACTCATTGTCTTCTCTCCATCCCTATCCAACCCTTTGCAGCCTCTGAATGTTTTCCATTCTTCCATCCCAACCATTCTTATTTCCATATTTCTTTATTCTTTCCATTGCCAGTGCATGAACCTGGCACGATGGCCCTATGATTCCATCACAGTGGTAGGCTGAAACAGGAGGATCACAAGTTCAAGCCTAGTTTAGGAAATTTACTAATTTAATGAGACCCTGTCTCAAAATAAAAATGGTTGGGTTTGTAGTCTAAGGCAAAGATTCTGGGCTCAATCCTCAGTATTGCAAAAAAACAAAAAACCAAAACCCTTGACATTAGATCATACCTTCATAATCTCTTGCATAGCCTGTTGCAGTAACCTTTTAACCAGTTGCTGCTAGTTTCTTCTCTAAAGTTTTTATTGCCTTGGAATTCATTTTTCTAAAGACTATAGGACATTTATACTTTGTAAGATGAAGAGCCAACAATGCTTTCAGGATAAACTCCAAGCAACCTTTTCCATGTTAAATGAGGCTTTTAATGGTCTGTCCCTTAGCTACCTTTTCTTCCTGATTTTCTGTCACTTTTTCTATTGTTAGTTTCCATAGTGCCAGACCCTTATTCCCTGACTGTCTTATTTTTCTGCCTTGCCAATCTGTTGGACTCCTATTCAGCATTTAAATCCAAGTTATAATTTACTTCTCCTTGAAATCTTCTCTTTTCCTCCTTCTCTTACTATACCCTTGGTGTAATCATTGGGTGATTCATAATAGGAGATTTGTCGTCTTCATATGAATTAATTCTGAACACATACTTTAAAGAGCAAAAGACTTTCAGACCTGTGATATTTTATTTCGTTGCCAGATAAGTTACAGTTATGGAAATTTCACATGCTTGAAAAAGAGACTAAATTTGATGTTAAAATAATCTTTCCATAAATGAGTTGAATTTAAACAATATAAATATCCCCTAGAATGAAAACGTTGTAGGTAGAGGCATTGCTCAGAGGTACTGTCTTAAGTGTTGAAAGCATTGTCTTTTAATTTTTATCCTTTAAGGTAGAAAACCATGGTAGAGGTTTCCAGATGAGAGAACCTAGACAGATTGCCCAATAATTTGACAGAAGCAAGATTCAAACCCACTTCTCTTTGAGTTTTGCCTCTTTTTTATTCATAGCTTATGTTCCAGCTTATAGAATATTTGTGTTTTCCATAAATGTGTAGCTTTCATACCTTAAGGATACTTGAAAAACTTTTCCAAGAAGTTTGTCTTTCTCATTATTTTCTGCTTGTTATTTAGGGTCCTTTATTTGTTTTATTTTGTTCTGAGAGTTCATTGCCTCTGATTTATTTGTCTGTCCTGTGTGGTCTGTTAGTATCCTTTCATCTACTGTGATACTGGACACATTATCATTGCCTCTACTTGTCAGTCTGTCCTACTGTATTGAAGCTATTTGAGGGTAGAGTAGTTTAATCTCTCTCTCCCCCAAGGGCCTGGTACGTTAGAATAGGTCCTCAGTAAATACTTGCTAAAAAGAATGGCTGAAATACAGTGTTTATATATAGGAAAAATAGAGTTGATGCAAGAATGATAGATTGTGATCCAGTATAAAGAGAAACATTAGAATGGTCTAACAGTGGAATGGAAAACAATTCTAGTGGTAGAGAGTACGTTGTTGTGGTAAAGAGCTTGGACTCTGGAGTCCAGCAGACATAATTCTAGTTGCCCTAAGCTGCAGTTTCTTCAGTGTACTGAAACTATACCTAATATTTAGTAAATGCTTAATAAAAACTAGCTGTTATTATTAGAGGAGAAATCTTATTTTTCTTTGTGATTGGGACTGGTAGTTGGATGGTTCAGCTCCCCCTTTTTTCTATTTCGCCATGGATTATTTTGAAATAAATTCAGGTAATCTTACTTCATTATAAATGCTTTGGTGTGTATCTTTAAAAAATAAGGATTTTTAAAAAACAGTACCATTATTTCTAAAAATTAAAGCTAATTCCTAATATGTATTTTATAGTTGGTTTGTTCAGATAAGAATCTGAAGATCTGCACATTATATTTAATTATATCTTTTACATCTCTTTTCAAATATAAGTTCTCTCTCTTTTAGCAGTTTATTCACAAAACCTGATGGATTGACCATGAGAGTTTACCAGAATCCAAATTTTTTTGGTTTTTTTTCTCCACAGTCATATAATAATATATCCCTTTCTCTTGAGCACTTGCTATAAACTGATGAAGATGTAGAGGCTTGATTGGTTTTGGGTCCTTTTATTTTCCTCAGTGGAGTAATGCTTCATGAATCGTGATGGTATTCATTTCTTATTTAGCACATAACACACATAATGTCTCATTCTCTCTTTTATTGTGATGTGATTAGTAACTTTAGGTGCTGTCATTCTGATCCACTAGCTATGAAGTTCCTGAAACAGCTTTTTCTGTTAGGGTTTTAATAGCTATTGATGATTTTGCCTAGACCAATTTTTTCATTGGAATTGTAAAGTTGATACTGAGTGAAGTTAAAAACAAACAAACAAATAACTTTTTCCCTTGAAATATTTTGCTGGATGACATAAAGGAAAGTAAGGGTAAATACTTCTTTCCATTTCCTTACCAATTTTGATAATAGTGAATTGGCTCCATAGCACTGACCAGTGAGTTTTTTGTTTGTTTTATTTTTAGTATCATTATGAATTCATGGGTTTAAAAATATTTTGAGTTTAGTTCTTTGCAGATATTATGCTTTTTATTATGCTTCAGATTGTCTCATCTTTAGTTAGTGGGAGTCCTTTGGATTTCTTGCCAATAATGTTTGATAGGTTGCTTGCTTCCTGGTATAACAAGATATTCTGGGATTCTTTTGTGCATTACTGCCCCAGGCCTGGAGTCATCTATTTCTCCCAGGAACCTTGTTCTTTCTTTGTAGGAAATGGTATTACTCTCTGAGCACGGGGATACTCATTGCTCTTGAATTGATCAGTGTTGCTGTACTTTTTCATTGAATAAAGTTAGGAATATTTTAAAATAGAAATTTTTTTCTGGTATTTCTGATTCAGATATAGGATTCTAGGATTTAAACCTGTGTCTTGTTTCATATGCTAAAAACTTGGTTCCAAATTATATTAACATAACTTACTTGGTTCAGATTATATGTCTAATGGTTTCAGAATAACGATGTTGCTATGTGATCACTGAAAGTAGTTTATGGCTTTATTTTTACTTTTACCCTTAGAATACATTTTATCAAGGATTTATATTACTGTTTTAAGGTCATTTGAAGTAATTCTTTTGTATGTGGTTAAGGTACCATCTCAATATACAGTTAGGTTTATTTGTTTTAGGAATTATTTTTTAAAACTTAATTTAGTTTTTTCACTTATATGGTTTCAAACTCTACTGGACATTTTAAATACTTTATTGATATTTAATATGAGAAAGTTAAAATTTTCAGTTAGCAAGTGAATGCATATCTATTTTATGGAAGAAATTATATGCTATACTGTTGATTGTGTTTGGTAACTTTGAAGTTCTGAGCAGGATCTTTCATGATCATCAAAATAGCATTGTAGGAAAGAAGAATTAGATGTTGTGTTCAGATCATAGAAAACTACTTCTCAATGTAGTAAGTTTGGACTTCTTCTGTAGCTAGTGTGAAATCAATAGTTTATAGCTTTAGATTATTTACACGAAAAACTTAGGATATTTCTTAGTTTTCATGTAACCTTTGTAATGTAATTGAGTAGTTATATAAAATATATTTTGCTAATGGAGAAATTAAAGCATTCTTGCTAATGGCTGTGACATGTTTATTGAGACCATACTATGTGCCAGGTACAGAGTATTCTACTAAGTACTTTCATAGATTGTCTTCCTTGATCCTTACAGGACACAGGAGGGAATGATGTTATCCTCATTCTCATCCTATCAGAGGAGGAATTTAAGGTTTAGGGAAATGTACCATATTATCCAGGATTGGATCCTAGACCCATAATGGACATTATTAGAAGAACCAGTGAACTTTGAATGAGACCTGTCCATTAGATGATAATTTTGATCAGTGTTACATCCAGTATTTGTCGATCAGTTTGTGATTAAATAAGAGACTGTCTTTGTACTTAAGATATAGTATATATACATACTGAGATATTAAGCATTAATGGGTGTCAGGTCTGAAACATTTTCAAAGGACCTAAAAGTGTTAACAGTTTGATAATGTGGGTGAATGGTACCCAGGAGCTCTACAGTTCTTATGTGAACTTAAAATTATTTCAAAATAAAAAGTGTTGACTCACCAAAGTCACATAGCTAGTATGGTGCAGAACAGAAGAGTTACTTGAACTTAAGTCTATTATTCTAAATGTGCTTGTGTATGTGTATGTATATCTTCACTGTCTGTTCTATTTTTTCTAACCAAGATCACAGATAATAGCAAAATTAAAAATGTCAAGCAAAGGTTTTTTCATTCCTCATGTTTACTTACTAATTATACCTAAAAAACATTAGCCATCTTTTTCAAATTTCTTTCAGATCAGCTTGTTTGCCTTTTATAGTGTTTATATTCTTGAGGTTTTGTAATAAATGCTAAGTGATAACAAGGTTTCTTTCCTTTACTATTTCTTTTATCATAAGCTTATATTTTATTATGGACTATTAAATACATTTTATAATTTATGTATCTTAAGTTAGTTCTAAATGTAGCCATTTAAAAATAATCTGCTTTTTGTTTTAATATAGGTTATTTTATGATGAAGCTTTTGCTATGGCTAATGACCCCTTGGAAGGCTTTCATGAAGTAAACCTTGCTTCACCTACTTCTCCAGACCTTCTTAGTGTGTATGAATCAGGGACTCAAGAGCAAACTACCTCAGCAAGTGTCATCTTCCGACCACATCCTTCAGCTTTATGCTCCACTCCTGTCCAGGCTAATGCATTGGATGTTTCTGATCTTCCTACACAACCTGTGTATTCACCCCTCAGACATTTAAACTGTGTGGAAATATCTAATATCAGGTAGGACATCAAAACATTTGTTTTGAATGTTTTTTTAAAAATGAATAATTTGCTTGGTTACCTTACATTTTACTGTTATAGAAAATTTGAGTAATATAAGCTTGCCCATACAGAGCGATATGTGTCAATGTTCTTTTGTTTTTTTGAGACAAAGTCTCACAATGTGCTTCAGTCCGGCCTTGAACTCACTATGTAGCCCGGGCTGGCTTTGAACTCAAAATAATCCTCCTGTCTCGGCCTCCCAAATGCTGGGGTTACAGGTATGCGCTACCGCACCCAGCCATCAATGCTGTACAGCAGTGACTGGCAAACTTTATGTGAGGGCCAGGTAGTAAATGTTTTAAGCTTTGGTAACCATACAGTCTCTGTCTCAGCTATTCAGTTCTGCTCCTTTAGAGTGTGAAAGCAGCTATAGGCAGAATGTAAATGAATAAATGTGGCTGTGTTTCAAAAAACTTTATATATGAATACAGAATTTTGAATTTCATAAAATTTTCACATGCCACAAAATATTATTTTTAAAATGTCTTTTTAATCATTTGAAAACATGAATGTTCTTAGCCCCAAGGGCCTTGTGAAACAGGTGGCTGGCTTGATTTAGCCTGCAGATTTTAGTTTGCTGACCCTTCTTCTTGAGTAGCACTGTCCAACAGAACTGTCTGTGATAGGTTGTTCTATTTCTATGGTAATATGCATGATAGCCTTTAGCCACATGTGGCTGTTGAACTCCTGAGATGTGGCTAGTGTAACTGAAGACTTGCTGTTAATTAACTGTAGAGGCTACCAAATTGGATAGTGCAGTTGAGAGCTACTGTTTATGCCATTTTTGTTCTGATTTTTGAAAGACTGTTTCTCTCCTTTACAGCATTCATGTTACAGAACCAGCATCTTGTGTTACCTCAGGAGTTTCATCTGGGATAACTAAATTAACTACAAGAAAGGACAGCTGTAATGCAGAGAGGGAGTTTTTACAGGGTGCTACGGTCACAGAGGCTTCTGCTAGCAGTGATGATATATTTGGTTTGAGTACAGATAGTCTATCCCGTTTACGAAGCCCATCTGTTCTGGAAGTTAGAGAAAAGGGCTATGAAAGATTAAAAGAAGAACTTGCAAAAGCTCAGAGGGTAAGAAAGAAATTTTTATTCTTTAAAAATTACTTTGCCATGGGGTGAGACAGCTCATAAACATCATCATTACAGTTCGACACTTGTCCTTCGCATATGCCCAGCCTCAGCTCCTGTTTGTCAGCATTTGGAAACCTGTGAAATTGGCTTGGTAGTAAAAGAGCGCCATAAGATGATTAAATGGAAAAATGAGATTCTGAAACTCTTCTGTACCTCCTATATTGGCTTCTTTCTGTCTTGTATTATATGTTATGCAAATTTAGTGGGCTATTATCCATAGATGAATTTTTTCCCTTTTTATATGTGATTGACCCAATAGTCATTTATGTGAAGTCATTCAATATAATTTATTTTGTTTTGAGGAATTGTTTTAGTAGCATCATCTTTGTTATTTTGCTGGGTTTGACTATTTCCTGGCTTATCTTAGAGAATTTTCTTTTCTTAGTAAATTGTCCTGTTTTTCACTGGGTCTTCTTTACAATTTGTTGGCCACATCTTACTGTTTTGGAGACCGTCCTTAAATTTCAGAGGGAAATGTACAGCATTGGAAAGAGGGATAAGTCTCAAATGAACAATCTAAACTTTCACTTTAAGAACTCGAAAAGGATAGTAAAATAAAACCAGAGCTAGTAGAAGGGAGGGAATAATCATAAGAGCAGAAATCAAAATTGACAAGAGAAAAAAGAGAAAATGAATGAAACAAAATATTGGTTCTTTAAAATAACAAAACAAAACAAGAAAATTGGCATGCCTCTGGCAAAACTGAACAAAAGAACCCCAAAACAGACACAAACAAAAACAGCTCCCCCAAAACAGAAGATATAGATTAACAGTGAAAAGAGTGAAATGAGTTATCACTGCAGACCCCACAGACATCAAAAGTACAATAAGGGAATAAAATGAAAAACACTGTATACATAAATTTAGCAGCCTTGGTAAAAATACCAAGATACATTTAGAAAATTGAGATGATAATGTAAACATCCCATAGGTGTTGCTTCCAGCATACTATGACATTTTACAGACATGCATTTCATCCTCTCCCTGCCATACTTGTCTCTCAAGGGCATAACATTTTAAAATTCTGTTTCTAACATAATACAGTACAGTGTCTTTTTGTAAGTGCTTCAGTGAATCGCAGATGGTTAAATAGCCATACAGATATGTTGACACTGTTTGTTAAAATATATTTTACCAGGAAGAAAAATTAATAGCCTTTTATTTTTATTTGTTTATTTATTTTTTCTTTTTGGTACTGGGGATTGAACTTGGGACCTTGCGCTTGTGAAGCAGGCAGTGGAACCACTGAGCTAAATCCCTGGCCCTCAATAACCTTTTAAATCTTTTCCCAGAGGTAATGGATGTGGTGAGATATGGCTACATTTTGCTTTTACCATTTGGCTTAGACTTTATTGTCTTAAATACACAGTATTTTTGTGAGATCATAGATTTTACAGAAGCAAGCTATTAAGAGTATACATCCATCTTTAAAAATAAATTGTGTTTATTTATTGTTCAGAATAGATTGCTAATCTCTTAGCTCAGTTTGGAATTTCTTCTGAGATAGGTACTGTTGAGATAATTGAAATGATGTATAAGTACCTATATAGGGTGGATTTTGTTATGAAGAGTACAAGACAGTTTGATATTTTTAGGTTTTAAGTCTTGAAGAGGACTCTTGAATATGAAAATATTTTCTGATTTATGGCATCCTGTGAGTCAAAACTATGTCATCAGCCATTTTTTTATTCTGATTACTTTTTTAAAACAGAGGCCAGGTAGTTGCCATTTTTCATCCTTTACTTTTTAACATATTTTTGTCTTCTATTTAAAGTGAATTTCTTGTGGGTAATGTGTAATTGTCTTGGTTTTTTATCCTTTCTGATATCTGTTGGCACCACTGAGCTAAATCCCTGGGCCCTATCCTATTGTTTTTTTATTTGTTGTCTCATCTGATCCTTTTCCCCCCTTTCCTCCTTTTTTTTGCCTTTTATATTCTGTATTTTTTGTTTTATGCTACCACCTTTTCTTATTGGCTGTTTATTTTTGTTGTGTTAATTTAGTAATTACTTTAGGGTTTATAGTGTGCATTTTTAACTTGTTATTGTCTGTCTACCAGTGATATACTGTACCACCCTACATGCAGTGTAAGAACCTTAGAAATTAGGTGGAATATTTTTCATACACTTCTACATATGTTTTATACTTCACACTACATTGTTATTATTTTTATATTAAACTGTTATCTTTTAAAGGGATTTAAGTAATGAGAATCTTTATTTTTCTTTATATAGGCATCCATGAGCTTCCATTTCCAGTACTATTTCTTCCTTCATGTATATCTAGATTTCCAACTGATACATTTTCCTTTTGCTTGAAGGACATGCTTTAACACTTTTGTTGTCCATGCTTGCTGCCGATGAATTCTTTTAGCTTTTTATATCTGAAAAAGTCTCTTGTTTACTTTTGTTTTTGGAAGGATATTTTCATAAGGTAAAGAATTTTAGGCCGATGGGTTTTTCTTTTTCCTTTCAGTAATATAAAGTTGTTACTCCAGTGCCTTTTTTTTTTTTCCTGTATGTGATATTTTTTTCTCTGCTTGGTCTTGAGAGTTTGCTGTAAGCAGTTTGATTATGATTTGCCTTGATGCCATTTTGTTAATCTTTTTGTGTGTGATTGGGATTTGTTGAGTTTTTTGAATCTGTAGGTTGTTAGTTTTCATAAAATTTGGGATATTTGGCCATTATTTCATCAAAAAGTTTTACATTCTTCATCTCTCCCCTTATTCTGGACCCCTATTGCCTGTACATTAGACTACAAAAAACTGTCCCATTTCTCACTGGGATTCTGTTCATTTATTTTAAAAATCTTTTTCCCTCTTTATATTTCACTATAGATAGTTTCTGTTGTTGTATTGTTATTGTCACTATCTTTCCCTCTTCAGTATCTAGTCTGTTACTTTCATACATTATGTTGTTAAACCTACACATTGTATTGTTTATCTCCAAATGTTTGATTTGAATTTTTTTGTATTTTGCTTTCTTTGTTTAACATGATTAGTTTTAGCTCTAGATTCTTGAACATATGGAAAACAAGCTTTTCTAACCTGTGATTCTTTAAATAATCATATAGTATTCACCTTACACCCCCATTTCTGAAGGATTACTTTTTGTTACAGTAAGTTTGATATCTTAAAAATTATTTCATATATTTTCCCAGTTTTTGAGTTGTGTCAGTGGGTGGTAAATCTGATCCTTTTTACTGTATCTTGATTGGAAGTTGTGTTTCTTTATTTTTTCTTGATTGCCCTGTCCCATTTCAGTAACTCCCACATAGAAACTCTGTGCTTCGTCATGCATGCTTCAATTAACTTGAGTTTCATGAATATAAAGATGCAGATGTTTTTGCTCATAGTTATAATTGAGCATAGAATGGATTCTTAATACATTTTGCTGATTAAATGAATTATATATGTGTGTATGTGGTTATACTGGTATATGAGTGGTACACATACATAATATATTAAAGTGATGCTGCTGCTGTAAGCAACCCTAACATTTTACTGACTTAACTGAATAGAAGTTCACTTTTATTTGTCTACTACTCTGATGCGGATGTTTGTAGTTAGTAGCCAGCTCTTTTCTGTGAAATAATTCAGGGATCTGTGTTTCTTTTGTTGTGGGCCTTTTAATCTCTTAGGCCTGAACAACCACTTGGTTCCCAGGAACAGATTTATACCATAAATAGGGGGGGCTTGCCACATGATCACTTGACTTAGGTGCAGGGATGGAGAGAGAAGATGTAATTCTTTGGCCTTCCACAGGTTGTTGCTGAAGAGCAGCTTTTGGTGAAATTCTCAGGTGAAGTTGGGCTTTAGTATATCTTTTTTAAAATGTAGATTTTTATATTTCATTCCAGTGATGAAACAGTTATTGTGTTGAGGTTTGTGAATATACATTTTCAGCCGGCTTCCTTGTTGATTATTCACTAAAAAGGTCAAACCTGCTGGTGAGCATAGGGGATTACCATTTTATGCTTCTCTAAAAGAGAATGACATGACTTGGAAAATAAAACCTAGTAGGATAGCTTGAAGCTAAAGTCATTCAAAAACATATCCTTGTATCAGTTAGTATGGTCCTACTAACTCTAGCCAAGGATATTTATAAACATTTACTGTGTTCTTTCATTGACATATTTCTTGAATAACCAAAGTGCTCACGTATAACATTAGGCTGTGTAGTGTACAAAAATAGCTGAGACTCAGCCTTTAAGGAGTTTCTAATTGAGGAAACATATGGATACATGGTACAAGATAATGTTTCATTGATTCTTTTTTTGCTGTGTTCACAATCAAACTCAGGACCTTGCACTTCCAGGCAGGCACAGTGCCACTGAACTAATCCCTGACCCTGTTTTATTGATTCTGAGCTATAGATTTTCCCCATTGAATCTGTGAAATCAATATGAGTCTTAAAATTTCTGTTAGCTAGGTAATAATCATGACACTTGTCCTCGCCTACTTGTGTGTAGACTTCTTTGTAGCTGTTTATGTTATTTAACCAAATTGTGAGTTGGGTGCTGTCTCTATTGATCTTAATTACTTAATATCTTCGAAAAGATCTCATGTAATGTGACACGGAAAGAAAAAAGGCACAGAAAAGCAGAGTAACATAATAAAAATCTATTTCTCTGTCAGTTTAAGAGTTCTCTAAATATAAATTGAAAATTCTAAGAAATAAGACAGTACTTTCATTAACAATAGTATATTACCTTTGTCCCTCCCTACTTCTCATCCTTCCTTTACCTAATTAAACGTGATATTCTTGCCTCAGCCTTTAGAGTAGCTGAGATTACAGTTATGCCCACCATGCCCCACTTATATTTTATTCTTTGGTATATAAAACGTCTGTGTTAAAAACGATGAAATAGGCTGCAGACAGGCAGGTCTGTGCACGCCCTACGGAGGTCCTGAGTCACGTGGAAGGCATCGAATCAGCCTA